CTTTAGTTGCTGTGATAACCTGCTGCAGTGATTCTTCAGACACGGTTCCTAAATAATCTTGGTCCTACTTCTAATGAGCAAAGGCCTCCAAGTATTTCCGTTTACCTGCTACAACCGCCCCTAGAGATTTCATCAGATTTTTTTTTAGGTCGTCTGACTTGAAAAAGTGCCATATAAGTACAGGACATTTACATTTATTTTTATTCAAATATCTAACGACAACATTCCCGTTTTGTTTCATTATTGAAATCCTTCTTCTTTGGTGTGTTTCTACTTTTAGTTTTTTAACAAACTGCAGTTAACCTGTCTTGAGCTTTTCACTACCTTTTGGCATTGATCTGTTTTTTTTTTTTGTTTTTTTCTGCCTGCCTCCTCAGAGACCTGATGGCAGCAGCCATTGATAGTTTCCTCTTTCTACCACCAGGCGGCGTAAACATTTCCCCCCAACTTTGGCTTTAAATTGGCCAGCTGTGCTTCCAATTACATTTCTGTGTTATTTTCTCTGCCCTTTATGTTGTTTTGAATCATTCCTTCGAGTTCATCAAATTGTAAACATTCATTAGCTTTTATGATATTTAAACTGTTTTTTATTTTTATTTATTTTTTTGCTTTTTTAGAGATTTCTTTTCAGATCGTTTAAGACATTTTAGAACACATTAGCTATTGACATCAAGATTGGAGTCGAGTAAATCAAATCTTTATTAGTTTTATATGAAATATCTAACATCTTCTTGTGGGATTGGTTTCAAATATGTAAAAAGTGTATGTTTTGGTTTAATTTTGGAAATTGCAATTATAAACCACCGAGAACATTTTTTTTTTTCCTATAAAAAAGTTGTACATTTGATCTAAAAATGAGTTCTCATTTGCTTTTAGCTATCATTTTTTTTAAATTGCTTTTTCTTTTTTACATTTGTTTTCTTGTGATGGTGTGCAAATGTGAAATGGAAACAATTTTTGCAAGCTGTATTTAGATCCCCTGTACACTGATATTCAAAGCAAGGCTTTGAGGTGGCGTTCACCCTAACTGTAAACACCACCTTATTGGTCAAAAGGGAACAGAAGTGTTTGTACTTCCTGCGAAGGAGGAGAGGCCACATATACCCACCCATCCTCACCACCTTCTAAAGAAGCACCATAGAGAGCGTTCTGACCAGCTGTCTCACCATGCTGTGTGGAGGCTGCAGCGCCTCAGACTGGAAGAAGGTGAGAAGAGTAGTGAGAACAGCAAAGAGGATCATTGGGGCTCCTCTGCCCTCTATTAAAGAAATGTCATCCCAGCGCTGCATGGCCCGAGCCTGTAACATTATCAGCGACCCCTCACCATGAACTGTTCTCCCTGCGCCCCTCTGGGAAAAGGCTTCGCAGCATTTGATGCAGGTACAGCAGGTTCTGCACAGCTTTCCCCCCGCTGCCATCAGACTGCTGAACTGCTAATACTCTAATCAAGACTCTGTATCATGTTTGTAAGCATCTATTGTTTATAGATGCTGGAGATCGGCCTGTTTTTCAGTGTAGTCTTCTCTTTCTGACCGTGACTGGCTGAATGTGCTCTCTTCATCCTCTGACATGGGAGCTCGGAGCTCGTCGGCCTGGCTGTGTGTTTCCTGGACGGGGCTGCCTTTTAAAGCTGCTTTTTGTATCTCTACTTCTGTCTCCTTGAACCCCAGTCGACCTCAAGATGGCCGCTCACACTGAGCCTGGTTCTGCTGGAGGTTTCTTCCTGTTAAAAGGGAGTTTTTCCTCTTCACCGTCGCTACAAGCATGCTTAGTGTGAGGGATTGCTTTGGAGTCAATGAGTCGATGCAATCAACAAGTTTTCCTTAGATAGAAGACTTTTAATCAATTTGACTGTATGATCTGGTTGAATTGTAAAGTGCCTTGAAGTGCCACCTCTGTTGTGAATTTGCGCTATATAAATAAAATGAATAGAATTGAAATATTTCTTCACGCAGGATATCACACCATACTGTAAAACAAAGTTGGGTGTTTTAACACTTTCTGAATGTTCCTGACATCTATTTCAGCACTTTGTACTCTCAATTCTTGGGGGTTGGTGGTGCAGTTATGCAGTTAAAGTCATCACAGAATAAAATTTCTGTTTATTGTTACTTTAAAAAAAAGATATATATTTTTAGCAAACTATGAAGTATTTATTTATTTATTTATCTCTCTGCAAAACACTGTGTCAGGCAAGCAACACTAAGCATAACCATGGGCACACCGTGACACTGTATGGTGGGAGCATCATGATGGGGGCATTGCTTTTATTTGTCAAAGTCAATGAGAAGATTGGTGGAGCCATAAACTGTGAAATCCTAGAGTAAAATGGTCTGAGGCTACAACAGACTTCAGACTGAGTTGGAGTTCTACCTACCATGATCACTGTGAAAAATGAAATCAGATTTAGGGCTTGGAAACTTCTAAAATGTCCTCTAGAGGGCAGTAGAGTCGCTTTCAATGCCCCAGCTGATACATTACTTCCTCACATCCCATCATTTTGTAATTCCTGTTAGTCATTATTAAAACATTTGATGCCCACTAATATTTTTGCTGGTTTGAGCTCCAAAGCAATTTCTCTTTTGCTTAATTTTTCTTGCTGTTTATTTATAACTTTGGTGTTAACATTATAAATGCTACAAAAGTAATTTGATGGAACAATTGTAGAACATAATCCATCAGAGCATACACATTTCTGTATCTCCATGTCTGCGCTGCCAAACGTCATAATTACAGAGCAGAGCGGAAACAGGGTGGAGTTAATTTCAAAATAAAAGTAGCTACAAAAAAATTGTGCAATACTATTTTAAACAGTTTTTGAATATAAAAGATTTCATTTTTTTAAAATAACATATCGTCATATTTTTTATTCCTAAGTTAGGTTGATAAAATCTGTTAAAAAGGGAAAGAACACAAAGCTATTTTTAATTTTTTTTTTTTTAAAGACCCTAAGACCCAAACGATATAGAAATAAGAAAAAATGTCTTAAATTAAGTACATCTACTCTTAATTTAATATGTAAAAATGATTTGCCAATGGAGTGAGATTTTATACTCTTAAAATAAGATAATTAGATAATGTGAACTTGAAATAAGACAATGCAGTTAGGTTTTTTTGGTTTCTAATTTAAATGTAAATTGTCTTGTTCCAATGTCTCATTTACCTCCTCAATTCAAGATAAAATACACTTCTTTTAAGAAAAAATGACTTACTTAGATTAAAAAATGTTGCAGTGCATACTACATTTACAGGTGAAGTTGGAGTTTTCCAACCTCAGATGGATAATTTTTTAAATCCTTATGTTCGACTGAATCATCTGTTGTGTTCAGCGGGGGACCTTTGGGTCCACCAATCGAGTAGTTAGGCATGCATTGTTCCATTTATGAAGAACACAAAGTCAAGTTCTCTGTGTTTTGCAAATATCCATTGTTTTGTTTTCTTTTTAGTTTGACTTATATTCAAGTTTGGTCAAGCAGCCAGTGATTACAGTAGAGGAAAGTAATAAATTGATCAAAGTAGAAACTTAGGCTTATTTGATCTTTTTAGAGACATATTCTGTAAAACATCCTCTTCCATGAGCTTTGGGGCTATTTAGAAAAGCAACCAAAAGTATATATATATATATATATATATATATATATATATATATATATATATATATATATATATATATATATATATATATATATATATATATGTATATGTATATATATGTATATATATATATATATATATATATATATATATATATATATATATATATATATATATATATATATATATATATATATATATATATATATATATATATATATATATATATATAAAAAATCCTGCTTGCTTTTTAAGCCTTCATTCATGTTTTCAAATTGCAGCTATTGGAACTAGTAATTGTGTCAAAAATACAGCTAATGGTGAATTCTTGCTAAACTGGTGGGGTGTTACCAAGATTTTGGGTATATTGATAATAAAAATAAAACCAATCATTCATGCAAGATTTGTTTATAACTGAATAATGCAGTGATATTATTTCGATATTATAATGACTGAGTCAGAGTTTTGAGGAGCTCATAAACTCCTTGCCCTCCTGCAAATTACACCCTTGCGAGCTGTAAGTTGTATGTCGAATTAAAACAAGAAAGGATCTGTATTTTATTGGTTTTATGCATCTAAATCAATCAATCAGAAAAATAAAAGTCATATTTTAAACTAATTTGTGAGATAAGGAGTGATTTATTTCAAGTGTTTATTTGAAATAAACTTTTAATAATTTCCTGCAGCTTTAAAAAAAAACAAGTATTCAGTTTTGTTTGTTTTTTCAGAAAATTTGATTACTTTTAAAGGATACCATATTTTTATTTAAAGATATGCAAATGCCTATACAAGACATACCAATATTTTATTTGAATTATTGTCTGACAGCTATTTTTTTGCACAATCGATTTTCTTTAAGTATACAGCAATGCTTGACCAACTTTTTTGTTGACAAAATGTTGCAGTCTTTCCAACATATAACCAGTAATTCAGTGGATATTATCAGGTGGACCGACTGGAGCTTTAAGATGTATGCAGGACATATGCTTTAAATTTTTTTTTATTCCTTGGATCAATCAACATAAAAATTATCTTTCTTTTCCTCCTGTTATAAAAGAAAATATGAATCAGTCAGTACAGCGTTTCACATCGCTGCTTGGAGGCTTTTATTTTGTAAACTGCCAAAGGAGAGGCTTGGTTTCAGCTTCTGGCTTGATTGTGAGTCTGCTGGCTTTTACAGCTGTCCACAAGGCAAGGTGATACCAACATCCTCTGGGAGGGAGAGGAAGAGAGAGGAGGGGGAAGCAGAAAGGATCTTATTTCTTAGTTCCATCTCTGTCCTTCTGGATACAAGCTGAGGTTTTATTTCATCCTGATGTTTAAAAGAGGCTGAGAGGACTGAGCCTCTGTTGGATCATCAGGGCTGCTGGTTCAGGACAATCTGATAAGAAAAGGAAAAAAATAACATGACTTCGACCGAGCAGACGGTAACGTGGCTAATTACTCTGGGGGTCCTGGAGTCTCCTAAGAAAAGCGTATCGGATCCTGAGGCTTTCCTCCAGGCGTCTCTGCAGGATGGAGCCGTGCTGTGCAAGCTGCTGGAGCGGCTCAGACCTGGGACGGTGGACAAAGTAAGACAGAGAGAAGGGGGAGTGATTCATCTAAACATGCTGATTTATTTATTTTTTTAATAGGTTGGCTTTTAATGAACTACTTTGGGAAAAAAATGAGATTGGAAAAAATAAAATAAAACATTATGCAGCAAAATAAGTTAAATTTATCTGTAAATCTAGGGCTTGAATAAGGAAAAAAGGGAGTTTTTCTTTTACATTTGCAGAACAAAAAAGGAAACGATACAAATCACAATTATCGTTCAGATCACTGTTAACTTGTTGTGGGGGTACTTAATGGCATCTATTTTGAAAACGAGCCTCCATTATATGTTTATTATTTAATATGGAAGAAAGACGAAAAAGGTAAAAAAAAAAAAAAAAAAAAAAAAAAAAAAAGGAATGCAGAATCACTGTGTGAACAATCAAATATATACATAAACAAGAAAAAAATATATACTTTATTAGAAATACACTGATCACCCCTTAATATGATGTCTGACCTGCCGCATCCAATTTTGACCTATTTTCTTTTTCTATCAGGGACTCCACCATGTATATACGGAAGGGGATTAGGGCCACTTAAAAACAAGTTAACTGATTTTTACATTTTATTTCAGTTGTATATGGGGAAAAAAGTCAGAATTCTGAGAAAAAAGTCAGAATTCTGAGATCAAAATCAGAATTCTGAGATTAAAGTCAGAGTTCTCAGGGGAAAAAAATCAGAATTCTGAGAAAAAAAGTCACAATTCTGAGATTGAAGTCCTAATTCTGAGAAAAAAAAGTCAGAATTCTGAAATTGATGTCAGAATTCTGAGATTAAAGTCGGAATTCTGAGGAAAAAAAGGTCAGAATTCTGACTTTTTCCCATATTAAACTAAAATATAATCTAAAAATCAGTTAACTTTTTTATTTTTTCAGTGGCCCTAATCCTCTTCCATATATAGAAGTGAAAAAAGAAGATGGTTTGTGCTTGTATCTCTAAATCCAACAGATAAATGAAAGACGTACAAGACTTTCTCTGTTTATGCATGAGAGCATGTGACCCTATATGATTTTCTTGAATTCAGTGATGACCAGCTGACTATTATTCTAATTGCTGTCAGCTTTTAATGGTTCATGTTTTTTGCAAAACACATATTCCTGATGGAGGTCAGCTGTTTAAACTTAAATTAGTTTGAAAAATCACCATGATAGAGACAAAAACGAGCTGCATGAATAATCATTAAAAAGGAAATACAGCGTCTTGTAAATTAACCTCTCTGAAAATAAACTGCAGGGGGAAAAAAATAAAAGAATTTGCATTTTGCATGTATATATTACACAAACAAACCTTTATATCTAACCACGCCTCTTAAACTCATGAACAATGGACCATGAACCTGTCAACGTCACATCCTCCTCCAGTTTATCCAGTTGCAGTAAAGATACGCTTGAGCTATTGGCTGGAGACTTGAATTAAAGTAGCTTCTGTCAACACAACACAGCTAATAAAAACCCCAACACTAAGCCACGGGGTGCGGGAATTTGCCCTTCAAAATAAAATCCCGAGAAACATCTTACCAGATATCAATAGAAGCAACCGCTTCTTATTCATAAAACCATAGTATTTCCTGTTATGTTTATTGTAGATAATACATATTTAACTACTAGATACATTGAAATATTTATGTATTAATTACTTAACAACAACAAAAATCACGTTTTAAGGTTATTTAGGATTTTTGTACTTTTATTCTTAAAATTTAAACCGGAAGTTGTCCTTATTAGCTTGCTTGATCCTGGAAAGCAGCAAGTGGCAAGTGCACCCACTACGCCTGGGGTAAAAAATAAATAAAAAAAATAATACTTTTTAAATTAAAAAACCTGTTTGAAATATATTGTTTGAATTAATTAAAGATTTAAAGGAATATCTGAGTCTGAACCCTTTCTTTAATGAATAGTTTTTCCAGGAGCCAAGGAGCGACGGCGAGTGTCAAAGGAACATTGCGGAGTTTATAAACGGCTGCGGAGCTTTCGGTGTGGAGGTGAGTTATATTTATTCATTAAACGGGATACTTGGTTTAACTCTGCTTTTTTATGTATTAACCCTTCTTTAAAACGACTTTTCTTGGGTTTATTCATGGTGTCTTCAAGCTACTGAGCAGTGAGAGCGCGAGCCGTTACTGCAGCAACGGGAGTTTTTTTTTCTCTGGAAATATATCAATGTTTTTAGTTTTACGCTGTATACTTAGTATTGGTTTGCCTTTTATTAATCACTTTGATTTACATAAAACAAAACAAAACTCAAAAAAACAACACAGATGTTTCTAAAGGCACCATTGGAAAATAATATGTGTGTAAGTAGAGGTTTGATACTGTCCCAGTAAGTACTTCAGGCTTTATTTTGTTGTTTTTTTCCTCATCAAAGCTTTTTAAAACATCTGCTCCGTTGTTGAGCAGACTTACCTTTTGAAAAAGGGTTTCCAGACTTTTGGAAGCGAGAAACTGTCCAAAGTAGGCTAAAGTGTCTTAAAAAGCAATAGGTGTTAAACTTAAGAAAACAACAGGACAGTGAAGGTGAAGGAATATATTTGTATATATTGATAAATCTGGAAAGGATGTGGGTGAGATTTCAAAAAGTTTAAGACAGGGAGCCATGATGCACTATTAAAGAAAGCAAAAAAAAAAAAAAAAAGTGGGGAAGTTTACCAGCCAATAATTACTATAAAGGTAAATAAACAACCAATCTAAGACCTCACAAACGAACCCAGAAAACAGTGAGAGTATTCTCTAACTTTTCAAAAATATTCTTTTTTTATTTTGTTTGTTTGAAGGTATTCATCTTACAATTGGGATAAATTACTAGTCTAGTAAACTAGCCCCACCCACCAGCGGCTAAAATAATTTTGCCTGCGAGTAGTCTAGCCTCAGTCAATGCCCAAGGCCCTATAACTGGCGGGCCAATCACAATGCAGAGATGTGTTTTAAATTTCCGGATACGAAATGGGTGGGTTTTGAGAGCATGATGACAAAGCAGCGCGACGCTGGAGAAAGCACAACAAGGAAGATGGCAACAACTTTTGAACAGTTGTCGTTTGCCTCAGCTTTGGAATCAGTTTTGGAAGGATTAGACTTCGCTCATTCCTTTTAGAGAAGGACGTATTTGGCGTTTTACCGACAGGCTGTTTGTTTACACTCCCCACCAGCTTTCTGTTGCGCTTACTACGTCACAGTCAGTTGCGCTCATTGGTCAGAGCATTGGCCAATAGGCACAGACAAGGTTTGAAGAACAACTGGTTGTTCTCATCAACAATCTTCCGATGTCTCATTCATCGGGGCCAGACTAAATTACACATTTAATCTCAGATTTAGTCTGGTTTTTCAGGCTAATAAAATACCAGCATTTTGGGAAAAAAAAAAATCAAACCAAAGAAATAATAGACATAGTCCAACTTACTGATGGTGGTGTTATGGTAGGCCTGCTTTTAAGTTTGGGGTCTAGATGACTTTCTATTCTATTGGGATCATAAATTAAGTCAAGCAGAAAAACCAAAAATATCTGCAAATGTAAGTTTTCAAGATGAAGCAAATTTGGGTAAAGGAGCAGGAAAGTCATTTGCACTGAATGACTGGAACCACAAACTCAAACTGTAGGTTTTCAAGTGGCCTAGTCAAAGTTCAGACTTTAAATCCTATTTTAAGTTTTAGGTGTGTGACCTTCATCAGACTTTTCACGTTCAAAAACCTTCTAATGTCGATAATTAAACCAGTTCTGCAGAGAAGAGGGGCTCAAAATTAAGGCTGCAACTAATGATTGTTTTACTAGTTTATTATTTTTTTCGATTAATAGTTAGATAGCAGAAGGTGCCTTAAAGAAGCTTTTATGCAGAATTTAAATCAAGTGAATGATGAGTTCTGGATTAAACATAACCATCATATCTTAAATACAAAGTGTTTGTATCATTCTTTTTTTTTTTTGACATCATCCCTGCTCTGATTTGGTTGCTCTTAAAGCTATTAGCATTAGTTAGCTTTTATACTCAAATTAACGATTAATCGATTACTCAATTAGTTGACTATTATTTTTATAATCGAATAATCACAATATGAAAGACGCATTACCATTTATTCGTTTCAGTTTTTTTTATATAAAACACATTTGGGTTTTTAACTAAGTTTACCTTTGTTTATTATCGTTTCATCTGAAACCTTTAAGTGTGACCAAAAAAAAAAAAAAAAACAACAGAAGGAATCTGTGGGGAAGCAAATGCTCTTGCTTTTGATTTAAAACAAGCGAGGAAGACTATTTTAGTCCTCACTTTGGCTGTTCCCAAAATATGTATGCACTGCCTGTGGTTCATGGTAGTTATGGAAACAGGAGACACAGATTCACTTTGATAGATGTTTTTTTTTTTTTTTTTTTATTATTCTTACTTGGCAGAAATATTCAGTCTGTGGAGCTGATTATCAAATAATCAGGTCTTGTTTATGTTTTGAAGAGGATCATAGTGCAGTTTGATGTTTTTAATCCAAGGACAGCACAGTGTTTGTGTTTCTATCAGAGTTCAAAAGCTCAACGTAGGGCGTGTTTCTGCGTCTGTTTGCATTTCTAAGTAGGTCATGACAGGTTATGACCTCCCTCTCAGTGAGTGTGCAGGGAGATCTGGTGAATACTGTACGAAAGACCAACATAGACACACAAACTCACACTTTATTGATCTTAGCTGTGGGAAAAAGGCAGTGGGATGATAATGGAAGAGATCATGCTGCACTTCTAAAAAAGGTTTCACTCTGGATTTGAAAGGTAATTGAGACAAGATAGATGGTCTTAAAAAAAAAAAAAAAAAAATGACTCTTCCAGGAGTAATGGTGAGAGCATAAAAAAGATGAATTGAGGGGGAAGGGAAGGGTGGGCTGATGTAATGTACTCTGCCAGGCATCCAGTGGATTTTCCAATCAGGTTGATTAGAGGAATGGCAGCCATGTCAGTGGAAGCCAAGGTCTCCGTTACGAGCAGTCAGGAATAATTCGCCCAGACAGTCGTGAAGCAGGCGGAGGAAAAGGCCAGACTGAGAGTCCTACTGAAGAGGATTAAAGAGAAGACGGCCAGAGGCGGCGAGAGCGTCTGCGACTCAGGCTGCGATTAACAATGGCTGCACAAGCAGCCTGCCTTCTAGACTACGAGCCATTTTTCATATAAGTGTTTGCAATGTATTCAATTCTATTTGAACTGTAGAAAAAATGAGAGATAAAGGTTAAAAGTTGTTGAGATCTCTTTGCCGTTAATTCTTTATTTTGGTAAAATTCCACTTTTACTTAATATTATCTCGCTTTCAATAGCTCACCTTCAACTAGAAAGTCTAGCTTCTCCTTTGAGTTTTGAGTTAGCTTTGGTATGAGCTCAGAGAGTTTTTTTTCCTGCACACAAATGTCACTTAACTTTTATCTTTAAATGTTTAATAAAAGAGTAAATATAATTTGCATGCATTGTTTTTAATCTATACAAAGCTAGAATAGCAAAAGAAAAACCTACTTATGTATATTTTTTTATAGTGAACAAGCAGCACCTCTTGATTTTAATGGATCCCCAGTAAAAAACAGGCTGTTTAGAAACAACATTTGACAGTTTATATGCAGTATAAGTTGAAGAAAAAAGTTTTGACCAGGCACTGGCACAATAAACAAACTCTTTTTCCCACTGATTCCCAGTTAATGAAATTCTTTGTCAGTATTCTGTTCAATTGGATCTGTTGGTGTACAATTGCAACGAACCCGACCTCAGAGAAAATCCAAACAAAGGTGTTTGAATTATTTGTTAATATAAACATTAATGCATGGACATATTATAAAAAAATCTACCAAAAATGGAACAGATTTTTTTATATTTACCACTAAAACTAGAACTAAAAATAGGGATGCACTTTGTTTTTGTTTAGTTTTTTAGTTTTCTCTCAGTTGTATTCCAAAACTTTAATTTGGAAATCTGCAGATAAGGTCATATAAAGAAGAAATTACACAGTAAATCCATCCTGAAAACAAATCTGCATCTGTAAGGGTTCCTATCAGGGAAAATAGACAAACATTAAGTCAGCAGAGCCATATTAAAGAGAGAGCGTTACCATGGCGATTAGCAATCAGTCAAGAGCCACATACTTGTTATACCCAGGTTTTGTGTTTTTGTGCGAGAAAATCTAATTTGCCTTACACAGTAGATGCTTTAAGCTGTTTAAATTAAACTATAAGTATAAAAAAATTGCAAAAACCAAAAACTTTGTCTGCAGATCTGACATAAATAAGTAATTTAAAGTCCCACATGGCTTCATCTTCACACTAAGAAATACAGACGTTTGTTAGAGTGTGTGGTTTACACAGGATTAGCAGCTTCTGAGGTGTTTGGATCATGGCTCTGTGTGTTTCCAGTAACGTGTGCGATTGAGCGATTACAAGAGGCAGCTCAGACTTAATCCTCCTTCCAGCTGAAGTTGGATCAGAGCACTAATGCTCCATTTGGCTCTGTTTTTTGCTTGATTTATAGGGAGATGAACTTTTAATCCAGCAACATTATAAACAATTACTTTTAAAGCAGTCTGTAAAGACAAATTTGTCTTGAGAGTTTGAGTGCAGAGAAAAGGTTTCTGCCTCGGTGGAGATTTCTTCTTTTTGTTATGGTGTTTGCATTGGTTGCAGATCTACCCACACTTTCAAAGGGAGGACATTATCCATGTGAACGCGAAAAAGCATGAAAAAGGTTCATACCAGCCCAGTAATAATAGTTGTGCCACCTTGTGGGAACTAATAATTCATTTTTTTCATTTGGATGACTCTTTCCCCACACCTCTGTTAAATTTAGAGTTTAATTTCTTCAGACGGTTGTTGAATATTTACTCGTTTTATCATCACTTCACAGCATCTTAAGGATTTTAAGTGCAGACTGACCAAAACCAAACATTTAAACTGCTTCATTTACACTATTTTCAGACTTCTCCAGGATTAGAAAACAGGTTGCCCTTGGTGTTCCTCCTTAAATTATCCTTTAAAAATAATGTTAAATAAAAGCTAATACTTTTATTTCACAAGGTTTGGCAGTTAGTTTCCCACCAGTTCATATGATGTGGATGATCATGAGGTTATCAACTTCTAATATGACTTTTTCTGATGATCTAAAAGTGTGGCACAAAAAAGAACAAATACTGATTCTCAGCCCTCTCTGTCCACAGAGGTGGGTAATCCAAGTCTTTCATCCTGTTCACAAAACCAGGTGATAAGTTCCTAGTCTGTGTTGTAAAGCTGGATGGTTGGAACTAATCTCCATTAGTATCTGTGCGATCAAACACAAGGGTTTAAAATCATTTACTCATAAATAAAACCAATCAAAATCTTTCACCAGTCAAACACACACAAGCAAAACTTAAAACGTGTTTAGGTCAGATTCTATATTTGTGTTTATATACAGCTGTGCTTGAAGTTTACATACCCTGAAAATAATAAATTCAAACTAATCATTCAAATGACACAAAACTGAAAAAGTAGCAATAAATAAAAGTTTACTAAATGAAAGTTTTAGAAAAGGAAATACTGACTTTTAATTTTTTTCTCTCCTGTTTCATCTGGACCGGGTTACGGGGGGAGCAGTCTCTGTAGAGACTCCCAAACCTCCCACGCCTGCTCCAGCTCTGCTGGGGGAAACCTAAGGTGCTCCATGGCCAGTCGAGAGACATACTCCATGGTGTCCTGGGTCGTCCCCTGGAGCTCCACTCAGTGGAACGTGCATGGGACACCTCCTGATGGAGGCGCCTTAAAAAGCTGTCTGATCCACCTTAGCTGACTCTTCTCGATGTGGAGGAGTAACGCTATACTCTGAGTCTCTCCCGAATTATCGAACTCCTCACCCTATCTCTAAGAGCCCATCCTCCCTACAGATCAAGCTCATTTCAGCCACTAGCATCTGGGATCTGGTTCTTTTAGTCATGATCCAGGTTTCAGGACCATAGGTGAGGGTTGGAACGTAGACCCACAGTTATATTGACAGCTTTGCCTTTTTGCTCAGCTCTCTCTTCACCATAACAGACAGCTGCAGAGTTCACATTATAGCAGCATCTGCACTGATCAATCTGTTGTTCTCACACTACATAATTCCCTCATTTGTAGAAAGGACTACAAGATAGATGACTCCTCCACTTGAGGCAGGAACTCTCCTCCATCCTGAATGGGGAGAAGCAACCTTTTTTCTGGTTGGAGGAGCTGATTATCATCCAGCCGCTTCACACTCTGCTGTGAACCGACCCAGTGCATGTTGTAGTTCTTGGCAGCAGGGAGCCAGCAGAGCCATATAATCTGCAAAGTCTGCTAGTCCACAAATCAGATCCCCTCCAGCCTTTAGCTGTACCTAGAAATCCTGTCCATAAAGGTTACGAACAGGAACGATGACAGGACAGCCCTGAAGAAAAACGGTCCCAGACAAATTAAAGTGTTTTGCTTATGAACAGTGACCCAACATGCCTGTCAACAAGTGACAAAGTCTTACTGAAAATTTTATATATTCAAAATCGTTATCATGAGTTCCATTTTAATTTTTTTTTTAACCAATTACTATTTATTTTTCAGCTGATTTTTTTTTTCTTTAATGTAAAGGTATGTAAACTTTCAAGCACAACTGTATATGTTTAATTTTGTTTCTTTCTCTAGCTCCATCCTTTATTCTTTTTAAGTATTAAATACTAATAAAAGTTATTTATGTTTTTTTCCTAGCCTTTTGAAGTGAACGACCTCCTGCAGGGACTGAACTTTTCCAAAGTACTGAACTCCTTAGTCGCTCTTAACAAAGCTACTGAAGGTAGGAGTGAGGTGTTTAGGGCCAAAATGGGCAAATATCTCTGCAACCCCTGTCTGAGTTTGTTGTTTCCATGCAGATCTGGGCGCCTCTGGAGACGGTGTGTGCGCGCCGCACTCCTCAAGTTTAAGAATCAAATCGTTTGACTCTCTGAACACTCAAAGTCGCTCGTCTAAGCTGCAGCAGCCTCAGTACCGCAGCCTGGTGAGTCACAGTACCAGTGTCTACATCACAGCTTCATCTTTTACAATAACAGAAGCGTCATGTCTTCATGTTTGCTCCTCCGTAGGACATGTCCGATGGCAGCGTGTGTGGCCAGTTGCTGGTCAAAGCGCGTTTTTGCTTCCAGGCGACCAATGAGGATGAACTCTCCTTCTCCAAGGGTGACATCATCTGTGTGACCAGGCAGGAGGAGGGGGGCTGGTGGGAAGGCTCACTGAAAGGCAAGACTGGGTGGTTCCCCAGTAACTATGTTCGGGAGCTGAGAGGAAGCGGTGGGTGCAACTTTTGTCAGGATTCTCTGTATTTCAGAGTGTCATCTTTAACTTCCACAGCTGTGTCACACCTATTTAAAGTGTTAATATTGGTTGGTTATAAATGAAAATGCTGTGAAATTAACATAAAAATTTAAAACTAAACAATTTATAGCTGTATGCACATATTTTTTTTAACCAAACTTTACAAACAGTTTTATTCCTTAAGCAGTAATAAAAGCAATTGGCAAGTTGGCATCTTGCAATGATGTTTCTACTTATAATTACTTCATAAACTCTTTTGTTTTTTATATTACTTAAATGGTGAAATTATCCTGTAAACATACTGGGATTTTTAAGTTGTTACATTGCAAAAACTATCAAGAAATATGTGAACATTTCTTAAATTAATTGTATTTACCCTTAATTTGAGTAGGTAAATAAGATGATCTGCCAATGCAATTAGAATTTTTTTTTTAGAATAAGATAATTGTCTTGTTCCATTGGCAAAGTGTCTCACTTTCCTCCTCAATTCAGGAACAAAAGCATTTATTTTAAGAAAAAAATCACTTATTTAGTTTCAATTTTTTCCAGTGTATATGTATTCACACTTTCTAACTTGGTAACTATTAAATAAATAGTTTCCTTTGTCAGAAATATTCTTCATAACTTTGATCGGGCATAAAGAAAGTGTGAGAACTGAGCTTGTTAGTGATTCTGTTCAGCCTTCTGCAGTCATTGTCAAACGTCTTGGTTTGCTGTGTTGCTTCTGGATAAGGGGAGACGGGAAGCTCCACATGGACACAAAGAAAGGAAGTTCCTGAGCTGCTGCTTAAAAAAGAACTTCCTGACTTCCATCTCAGCAGAAACAACAACTACAATAACAGCAGGCGCAGGATACATATCTGTTGAAACTCTTATACTTAGTTTGAGCTTTTTTTTTCTCTTATTGTATTGGAGATACTAATTGTTTAGAAAGTATATCCATCTTTATATGGTTTTATTCAACATTTAGCTGGAATAAACATAACAAAATGTCTGCAAGACAGCATGCTAGCTGTAAAACCCAAAATAATTCTGAAAGATCATGACATCATGGAATGAGCTACTTTTAACATGATATCATCTACAAAGACAAGTGCTGTGGGGAAATAATGGGGCTTTTGACTCCAATTTAAGAGTTTAAATGTACAGGTTCAGCTCACTCTCTTAAAAGTTGTGGCAGCAATTCACTTAAATATAAAGATTTATTACAAACAGAAGGATTATTATTGTCTTTATTTTTGTTTGTTTTAATTCTCATTCTAACCAGTATAGGAAAATCAAACTTATCAGTTCTAATATAATTTTATAAATTTTCTTTTCACAAAGTTACTTTTGAACATGGAGCTTTATTGTTTTAAAGCTCATTAAAACACTTTTACCCATATCCAGCTTCCGATGCTGCGGGTCCCTTAGCCGTATAAGACTATTTTATTATTTATTTACCTGATTCTGACCCTGGTTTGGTTCTAGGCTGATTATCTGAACTGAAGGATAAAGCGGCACAGCAGCTAGGCATCCTGACGAGAGTTAATATCCTCAATTCTTTTTTTTATTTGCACCTCAGTTCAGCTCAGCTATACTTGGAAGTGGGGATTTTTTTCATTTTGTGGACTGCGGAAAGACCAGATTTCCCTGTCTATTGTTCAGTTATTAGGTTTTATCATACAAAACAGAATCCCACATGAACTAAAATAAACAACAGATGAAATGATGCTTAAAATATTCATAAGTTTGGCAACTCTACCTTAAAGTGCTTTACATTCTATCCAGAATGCGTAGGAAACAAGGCAGGTATTGTTTTAAGATGTAAAATAAGAGGAAGAAATGAAAAGGAACGCTCTCCCTGCAGAATGTGTGCTATGAATTAAGAGGAGGGAAGCTAGCTAGCACAACACCAGTGCAGCCCAGAAGACGCTCTCATTCTGACTCCAGTTGTCATTAAATATGTCAGGCGTGCGCTGTCGTTTACATAATATAATCCCATCGTCAGCATTGCAGGTCGCTGGCTTGAACTTTCGAATGCCACCGCTCAAACCGATAGTTGCTCACTTTTCCTGTCGAGTTTTCTTCACTGATATTAGGCAGCTTGTTTTTTGAGTCTGTGGACTGGGCTTGGAAACTAGCATTAAAAAAACTATAGAATTGAACTATCCTGGGTGAAAGGTTAGAACCGGTTCCAACCGATTATCGATTTTTGATGTCCAACGCTGCTGCTAATTAGACCTCCAGCTGTTGATTATTTTATTCATTGATTAAAGCCATACTACATAAAGTTTACCAAGTATTATTTTATTCAGAGCTGTATTAAATTATTTTTCAGATCAATATTTAGCACTTGGGCAATATTGTTGCTCAGTGCTGGCTGCTGTTTTAAGGTTCTGGTCTACTGCTGAATTGGTTTATTGCCTCAGATCGCTGCTTTACAGCCTTCTAAGCTCCCCATAAACACCAGAGCAAAGTAAGCTAATAGTTAATAAGCACCAAAATAGAGACGAAACTTACCTGATCACACTTACCTTTGGTTCTGTCCTTCATGACTTTTCTAACTGCTGGTCCAAATTGCTCTGCTATCAGAGTCCAAAACAATGAGGTAGACTCTGTTTGAATTTGCAACCATGAAAGTTTAGTTTTGTTCATCCAGAGTGCTAATTTTTACATTTGTCTTTCAACAAATAGTTCTTTCAGTGTTGTACCAAGCAAAGATAGAGTTAATAAAATAAAAGAAAATTGAGAAAAAAAAAATCACTATTCCTGGTAGTAATTTTAACAGGGCATTTATTGTTAAATAATTAAAAATTAAAACAAAAAAAATGGAAATGCTAGATTTATAAGAAATTATTTTAGAAGGGAGTTAGAAAACAATATAGCTTGCCCTGATTATGTATTAATGCTTTACAGTTGTACTGCCCTGTAACATTGCTTTATTAATCCATTAGAGTTTGCTAGATTGGTACGGAGCCCCTCTGATGACATGGTCAAAAAAAAATTTTAATTGTGGCCACGAAGTAGTATTTCGTGCGCACGAAATACTACTTCGTGGCCACGCAATAAGTATAACGTGGACAACTGGGTAAGCAAATCGAGCGCGCCTTCTCTAAGGTCTAAGGCGCGCTCGATTTGCTTACCCAGTTTTTTGTAGATTGGTGCTTTTTGATGACTTTTTTTCTAAATTACAACATTTTCATCCAGGTGAGCATTCCCCAGATCTTCCTAAAGGGTTTTAATCCCTCTCATCTTTCTCATTCCTGACCCGTTTTCATGTCTGAATTTAGCATATGTTATGTTTTACAGTCTCTACATGATTACTAATTTAGTTTTGTATTATTTAAATAATCAATGAATCAAATTATTAGCTTCAAATCTACTGCTAGAGAATTTAGTTTAAAGATTGCTCAATTAGCTCCTCTTCACAGTTTTCTCTGTCTTTCTTGTTTCTTGTGATGGGTTTTATTTTTACCACACTTTTGTCTTCCACTCGACTCTGCATTGTTTCGCTTGGTTACCGGACATGGGGATCAATTTTTTCTTTTTTTCTTTTTGCAATGAATATTACATATACTTTTGTCATACTTAGATATTCTGGGAAAATAAGTTTTGGAGATTTCATTAACCCCTTATGATCAGCAGCAATACACTCTTTAAATGTATCACACTATGTCTAATTAGTGTGTATATATATATATATTAGGAGTTTCTCTAATTTAATGAAATGAATGGAAAAAAATACTTTTCATTTAATGTATTATATATGAGGATGCATCTATTTAGCCTTAAACACGTCACATCTTCTGTTTCAATTACAAAAAATAAGAACTGCATTTTTTGGTATTTTCAGACAAAACAGACAAGCAAAAGTGTGGGACTCTAAAAAGTCCACCAAAAGGTTTTGACACCACCATCATCTCCAAGACCTACTATAATGTGGTGAGTGTTTTTATGTTGCTATTGTTGGCTCCTTATGTTTTTTTTAAGTCAAACATCTAGTGTGAAATCTGTTGAAAGCCTCAAACAGGGACATTTAAGAACTGGTTTGAACATTAAATCTAAAAGCATTACATTTTTTCATTTAATGTTAAAAAACTGTTTGTTTTTTGGTCCATCTTTGGACTTTAGGCAGCTAAAGATTGATTCTCCTATTGTGGATTGCCACAATCAATTATTTTTAATTTACACTTTTAATCACTGATCCTATAAGCATGTCTGTGTGTGCGTATAAGCATGGCATGATTCGTGGAGTCCACATGGCATCGTCAGCTTTGTGTGACAGAGTGCGGCCACTCTAATGTAGGTTATTCCTTCCATCCCAGTGGTTTCTGGGGCAGCCTTGCCTCGGGGTGGGCTCTTTCTGGTGCGAGAGTGTTTTTAATAATGTAGCAAGATGTTGCAGTCTATGCAGACCGTGCTATCTATGGTCGAGGTTCCTGAGTGTTCTTTATACACAGGCAAACTGGTCGAGCCTGAAGTGAAAACTGTTCCTAGACGCTAATGCAACAGCAGGAAAGAAGCTTAGATGGGTAAAAAATGTCTGCTTTGGGCATTTTTATTTCATTTATTTTCTCAAATTCACAGAAACTTTCCTGCCCTGTTTTGTTTACCAAATATATATATATATATATATATATATATATATATATATATATATATATATATATATATATATATATATCTTAATTAAAAACATATAAAAATAAACTTAGCCTGCACATTGTCCAAGTTGTTTTGATTGCAGTTTAAAGATGAGCTGCTTTAGGTCCATTTTTCTTCAGCATCACCTTCTCCTTTAACCTATGTTTTTGAGTTATAAGAGCTAATCCAACAGCTTCCAGAGAACCACTCTACTTATCTCATCTAGTCCTGTTGGTTGGTGTATAGATCGATCTGTTTACCTGACTAGTCGTAGATCACTACATTTTAATGGTAGGAGGGTTAGTTGATTCTTTAATGTCTCATGTTATTCTACATTTGAAAATAAAAGCTGCTGACAATGAGCCCACCAGGATTTCTTTGCAGGGCAGCCTAAAGCCCACTTCTCTCATTAGGCCATAAAAAAGAAAGAAAGAAAAAAAAAAAGGTCAGTTCAGGTGTTTTTTTAAAAAGTGAGCCAGGAAATTGTCTCTATACCAAACTGAAAGATTGCTGTTTTCTACTTCAAAAACATAGATTTTAAAATGGAGAAACGTTCTTTTTATATATATATATATATATATATATATATATATATATATATATATATATATATATATATATATATATATATATATATATTGTTTAAATTCAATGCAAAACATGGATGCATAAACATCTGGATTTTATTTCAGTGTTAAGAGCTGTTTAAAGTAACGGATTATAATAAAAAATGTCTCCGGACCTTTACTGGTTGTTGATTTTCTTTATTCGGACCCCGCTGGTTTTTAATTGGTTTCCCTGCTATAGGAGATGAAAAGTATCATGACTTGACCAATGTTTTAGTGAAGGAGGCAGTTGAGATGAGCTTTTTAAATCAGAATGGAAGATCGATAAAATAATGACAAAGGATAAAGAGGGGAATGCTAAGATAATTGCGACTGGCTTTTAAAAATGCCTTTTAAATTTAGCCATAGAAAGTCTGTTTTGTGGTCCTAACTCCAATGCAGACACCAACCAGAAGTCGCCTTATCTCTTTTGCTCTGCCACCTGCTCTGCCCAGTAGGCTCATCTGATCCCCAGCTGTCATTCTTCCACCTCCAGTAGTTAGCCTTTAAATGCTAGCTCCGCCCAGCCACTAGCTTCCCCATTTTGGGCTTCTCAAATGTACCTTTGCCCTACTCCCACCTATTAGTAACCTCTAACCCGACTTCATCGTTTTGTTTTCCTCGGTGGGACTTCATCAGATCTTTGGCTTTGCTTCTTTGTTCTCCTCTTGAGCTGCCTTATAATGCAGATATGGCAGATAAGGTAGATCCAATCCACCCCTGTGGATTCTAGGCTCCAGCTCAAAATGCTGTCTCCCCTTCCCTCTATTGTCCTGTTGACTTGTCTCCCTGTTTTGGGGACTTTGACCAAAACCAAAATGGATCAATTGCAGGAAAAAGATACATGTCCGCTCAGATAAAAAACTCATCAATAAAAAAATCCATGCTTGACATTGGTTATTTTCATAATGACGGCCTGATAGACAGTCATGTGAAAATCTGCCAATATCTGTGCAATGCGGATCCCCCAAAAGACATTAGGAAGGGCTGATTTTGAAATAGTGTTTTTGAGCTCAAATTCGCCAAGAGGTGGAGAAAGGCATTGAGAGAGATGCTTTCTTCCCCCCACCCCCATTTGTGAATCTCATACACAGCTTTGACATGACAGATACAAAATCTTTCTAAAAAGAATTTTGCATAATAAAGGTGCGTTAAAGCGTTAAACCTTGCACACATTTTGTTTGCATTTTATATGAAAAATGCTTGTTTTCTCACTGGTGACTAGAAGATCGAAGGGAGGATTTGAAATTTAATGTTTTAATGCTGCTTTTTGTAGATTTTCATAATTAGACTCCTAGAAAACACAGGCAATTATGAAATGTTATTTTTTTTTAAGGCAATGCACGTTTATTAATATTACATAATTTACACGCTTTACATGAACTTAACAATACATTGATATAAAATAAAAACTGAATAAAAGCAAGTAAAGGTAAAAACATGATATTCTATTCTTTTTTGTAATATCTCATTTCCAATAGGTGCTACAAAACATCCTGGAGGCAGAGAGTGAATATTCAAGGGAGCAGCAAAGTCTCCTGGGGACGTACCTTCGCTCCCTTCACCCCACCGACAGGTTGATGCTTCTCACACTTTCTCACTTTGATACGTGACAGAATTTTATTTTTGTGAGGTGCTTTGATACATTTGTTGTGAATCACTGCTATAAAAATAGACAGAATTGAATCATATCCCATGAGCAGGTATGCATGTCTGTTTGTCTTCTTGCTGTTTTGTGGTAATACAGACTCAGCAGCGTTGACATCAATCATATTCAGGGGAATCTGGAGGAGATCTCAACCTTTCAGCAGATGCTTGTTCAATCCTTGGATGAACAGACCAAGTCAGTCTTTTTTTTTTTCTTCATCTGTTAAATTCCTTAATCCTCTGTCAGGTTCAAAACTGCTTATGATTAAAAATAAAAACAAAAACGTGAGCATGTTTTTATGTGTTTTTGATGCTGATTGTGCCTTCCTGCGGTTTTTTAAATGACATCATGCTTCCTTGTTTAAGACATGAGTGCCAGCACTTCTGCGCTGCTGTAGCAAATATAGCAACAGAGACATCTAGTGGTCAGCAGAGTTATAATTTTGATTAATCGGTTATTTTATGTTTCTGCTGAGTTCTTTTAGTAGCATTGTTTAGTTATATTTGTGGTTTTAATTTCATTTAACCTTTTTTTCTATGTAATTAAATTAGTTAAATTGTTTTCATCCAGTTTAATATTACAAAATAATTTGTGCAGACTTCCAGAGGGCCAGCAGAGAATCGGAGGTTTCTTTCTGAGTCTGATGCCTCAGATGAAGACCATATATTTGGCTTACTGCGCCAATCACCCATTTGCAGTCAGCGTGCTCACACAGCAAAGGTGATGCCAGACGCAAACCTTAAACATGTAATAAACTACAGACAAGTTAGAGTTAATGTGTTTGCTTATGTGTCTCTCAGTAAGGATCTTGAAGAATTTATGGAGTCAAAGGGAGCACCTAGTCCTGGTCTCTGGACACTGACAACTAGTTTAAGTAAACCCTTCATCAGAATGGAAAGATACCCAGCGCTGCTGAAAGAGCTGGAAAGACACATGGATGTAAGAATTCACAGGCTCAAAACTTAAGCAGTTAAATGTTCTTCTTTTTTGATTTTCTAATTGTTTTTCAGGAACAACACCCCGACCGAGCTGACCTCAACGCTGCCATGGCAGCTTTTAAAAGCCTTGCTGTAAGAATGCCTCTTTTTCATTCCTTTTGACACAAGTTGAACCTGTTTTACCAGTGGTACAACAATAACTTTGACCGCTTTCTGCTGATTTCTTTGTAACCTGTGTTTGCTTTGTTTTTGTGCAAGGCTGAATGTGATGAGGTGAGGAAGAAAAAGGGCCTGGAGCTGGAAATTCTGACGGAGCCAATCAGAAACTGGGAGGGAGACGATATCAAAACTCTCGGCCCTGTTTTACATATGTCTCAAGTCAAAGTTCATACACAAAACTGCCAGGTACAAAACTCTGAGACTGTGGACATCGATGCTGGAGATATTGAATTGTATTTTTCAACTGTTGGAAGTGAACAATGCGTAAAAAAACCGTTTTGGCTTTCAGGAATCTGGCGAATGCTACCTCCTCCTGTTTCCTCACTCTTTGCTCATGATCTCAGTGAGCCTCAGGATGAGTGGGTTCATATACCAGGTATCACTACATTGTACAATGTTTCATGTTTTGCTAAATACTGTAATTTTTATCATACACCATAAGAAATTGAAAGCGCCCTGTAAATTCACCTCCTCTGATTGTCTGTAGGGGAAGATGCCGTTATCAGGAATGCTCATCTCTAGAATCGAAGATGGAGAAAACTTGAAGAATGCTTTTGAAATATCTGGTCAGCCCCTTATTGATCTTTTTATTGAAATAATCAGAGCTCGCTATGTGATTTTTACCAAAAAAGGTGTTAGACTCATCTAGTTTATGAAGCAATTCTGTTATCATGTTGCTTAGTTCATATAGCAAGTCCTCATGTTTGTGTTTCTGTTGTTGTGCAGGCAGCCAATGTGAGCGCACGCAGATAGCATGTAAAACTCAGCGGGATCTGCAAGACTGGTTGGACCTTCTCACCAAACACACACACACCACTTCACCTCATGTGCACAAGCCTCAGGCTGTTTATCACACAGTAAGGAGCCGTTTGCATGAAACGTTCATTAGTTGATCTTCACCGACACTCAACGTTCATTCGTCTTTTTTTTCCCTCCTTCTCCATGTTGTTTCTAGCTGCCCTCGCATCCTGTCACCCCCTCCAGACACTCTAGAGGGGAGAGCGGTGGGAGCCCTTACCACACTCTGCCTCATCCTTTGTCGTATGGGACAAATCACATTATTAGCCCCATGTTTGGAAGCCTGGAGCCACCAAGCACTCCCAAACCCTGGACTCTGAGCTGTCTTCGCCCTGCACCTCCGCTAAGACCCTCTGCTGCTCTGTGCTTCAAAGAGGTACTCAGTTGACCAGTCTAAACAACTTAATGCAGGACTTGTATGTGTCTGTGGCTAATGGTTAAACTTGGAGGGGGCAGGCAATAATTCAATATCAATATGTACAGACTTGCGTTCTCGTCAAGTCCAGTCTTGGCAAGAACACAGGAAAGTGTGGACTTGGCGAGAACGGGAGCATGCAGCATAGATATGGTTCAATTGGAACAGAAGCGTACTCGTGACATCACCACACACTCAGCTCTTCTACAGCTGCATTTCATCTCCTGTTATTAATAGTCTCTTGATAATAAATTATTACTTTTTTCATTTAGTGGGGGAATAATGATGGACCCAAATAAAATCAAAATTTTGTCTAAATAAAACAAAAAAATCGCCATCGGAGCCAGCGGTCCTTCACACACGGCTATGCCGAGAGCTGCTGCAGAAGGGCTGAGGTTAGCTTTGGAGCTCCGCTGGTTGCCGCGGTCCTCTCAACTTTGGAAATCTCTCTTTTTAATTACATTAAATCGGTAAATGGGCCATATAGTGACACTTTAAAATGTAATATTCTCGCCTCAAATGATCTTAAAACGTACTTTTATTGAACAAGAGCAACAGAAAAGAGAACTTTTAACTTTCAATGGAGCGCTCCATTGAAAGCTGCTGCTGTCGAGGTGCATTCAGGGACAGCTGTCAATCTTAAGAACGGACAAGTCTGCTCTGATGCATGCTGGGTAAAGAGGGCGGGGCGAGAACAACATCCGGGGATTTGGTGCGTTCTCGGTCTGGTGTAATAGTGGTGATATGACATTTGAACACCTTTAATCTATTTATATACACTCCAGTCTATGTTTATAACATTTGTCAATGATGGACAATCCAGGCGCACGTGATCCGAGCCAAACAGGAAGAGTCACACATGAACAATGATGTCCATTACAGAAAAGCAACCTGTGGTCTGCTGCTGGAGGCTGTGCTGCTAAGTTTTATCCACAAACTGAACAAAACATCCCAGTTTAGGATAACCTGCATCGGGCAAAAGCAGTCCTTGCAAATGGCTCCAACTTCCGCGTCTGATGAATGAGAGAATGATTGTCACGTGCAGACCATATAAAAAGCATGTAAAGGCTTCAGATTTCCATTGGAAAATATAAAAAAACATGTATTCTTTTCTTTCCACTTTTTAACACTTAAAATTTATTTTAACCTTCTTAACCTTCTGTATTTTAAAGCATGGATTTTGTGGTTTTCTCTTTTTCAAAGGATGTAAGTAAAAGTCCCAAAAACAAAAGGCCTCTGCTCCCTACGATAAGAAAACCAGAGAGGAAACCATCAGAGGAAGATTTCACTACCAGAAAAAGTAAGAACAGATCAGACACCAAGCTGCAATCAGTCCAGGGTTTGAAAAAGTAACTTTTATAAAGTTCACATATTCACTATTTTCAGAAACTGATATAATTAACACTTTGCAACTTAAACAGGAAAATTGCAGTCTAATTCTATTAGGTGAAGATTTCCCCTTGGCCTTTTTTAGTTAAAGTAATTTTATGGCTTTGGTTAATTAATAAAATTAATGCATTCTTTTACTTTTAATTAATCTTTTTTTGTTTCAAGTCTGATCAACAACAAAAAAAAACAACAATAAGTTGATCAATTGTTTCAGGCAGACATGCTGCTCTATTAGTTCTCCTTATTAGGAGTTAAAAACTGATGTTTGTTTTACATTTGCTCTGCTGGATTCAAACTTTTTAAGGTATCTTCTCTCTATCCTAATAATTTTTTTGTTTCGTCTGCATCAGTCACAGCAGCTCTGGAGGAAGATGCTCAGATACTGAAGGTGATCGAAGCCTACTGTACGAGTGGAAAGACTCGTCAGACTCTTAATTCCAGTGAGTGATGTTTACATCCATCATCATAATTAAACTGTTGGCACTAATTGTCTTTTTATGCATCAAGCCTTTTTACTAACCGTTTTTCTCTCTTCTCTCTTATCCTATTTATCACCATCCATCTATTGTTTTATCCTTAATATTCCTCGCATTGCTACGCCATGTCACCCTCATCCCTCCACTGCCTATTTTCTTACAATTTTCCCGTTTATTATTCTCAATGTCTCCTTGTGTTGTGTGTTTATTACTGTTGGAATTTATTTTACGGTTTGTCCTACACTTTTTTTTACCTTATCCATTATGATTTGATTTGCCCCCCCAACCTCCCCATTGTTGGTTGTTTTATGGCACCGTAAAGCATGGCAAGGAACTGACCTCATGCACAACCATGTGCTGGCTGAGCCCAGCTTCTCTGTGGCTGTGATCCCCAGTAACCTGCCGTCTTCTGAGCAATCAGAAGACTCTGATTATGACAGTGTCTGGACTTCTCAAAGTCACAGGACCGCCTCGTTTTCCCGTAAGATGCCGCTGTTGAGAACCTTTTATGCAGACTGAACCTTTGACTAGATAAAGTTACCTTTCCCCCCTTAAACATTGGCTTGTATTTTTTTTATTTTTTTAGTTCATTTATCCTTTTTTAGATTCTGATATTATCTGATACATTTTTTTTCTTAGAAACAACAAACTTTTTTGTGCAGTAGTAACTTTTAAATTACAATTTTAGGCTCCAGCAGGAAAGATGTTCACATGTTGTTCCCAGAAGAGGAGAAGATTATCGTTGAAGAAACAAGGAGCAATGGGCAAACTGTAGTGGAGGAAAGGTAATAAATCAGACTGTGGATGTAAAGGGTACATCTCAGTAGTTAGATTAATATAAGAAGAACTGATATAGATGCATTGCAGCTGAATTCACAGACTTGTCAAATGTTCTAGCTGCGGCCATAGTGAGTACCTGCTCTGGTCCCCTGTTGTCAAAGATGTCGTCCATATGTCATGGCGTCGGGTGTGACAATAAAAATGTGACCCAAATATTTGCTGGTGAAGATTCTCAGTCATCCAGGTCAAAGTCATTACAAAAAAAGGAAAGAAAAACAACTATCCACTGGACTTTGTTTCCAAGTTTGAAGACGTTTCACTTCTCATCCAGGACGCTTTTTCAATTCAAAATGTCTGAATTAGCGTTAAGGCTTTATAGAATGGACCAATAAGCTTCTTCTGACATTTTGAATTCAAAAAGGTTGCTGGATGGGAAGTGAAACGTCTTCAAACTTGAAAACAAAGTCCAGTGATTTATTTATTTTTAACGTTTTTGGAATGACTATGACTGGAATCTTTACCAGCTAATTTTTGGGTCACATTTTTACTGTCACACCCAACGGTATATTACTTTTCACCACTTACCAAAAGAGAATGAACGTGTTCAGAGATTGCCAGCGATCAGCAGGGCTAAGTGGGTGCTGACAGCAAGTAACCGTCAGTTCAGGGTACATTTCGTTTTAGGTGAGGGTCGATATAAGTCATATGAGCTTAGGCTGCTGTTAACTGCTGGTAACTTGATTTAATGTGTTGTTAAAAAAAATTAATCCAGAAAATTAAGTGATTAGTAAACCCTGATTAGACAAGTGAAAAAATGCATTTGATAATAAGATCTTTAGATTTTGCTACAGACATTATAGTTGTGTTTAGCTGTTTACATTAACTAAGCATAGAAATCAGCAGAACGAGACGCACCTTTGCTCTATATACGAATATCTTCCTTTTCCTCGGATGCCAAATTTTCCAGTCACTAACCCAGCTGTGAAAAACGGATAAGTATCTATGATTTTAAAAGATTTTAGACTTTCTCTGGTGTACAAGGACGGGTTTGTATAAGATATACTTATAAGATGTGAAAGGAAAAAATCTGGGGGTTGTAGAAACGTGTTGAAAAAGTTTGCAGAGACTTCGTATGGATAACCTCCAACACAGATTTTTCTTTGTTTAAGCCCACGGGTATTCAAATGAGATTGATTGAGCAGAAGCGCCACATAGCTAACCTAAGCGTTCGATACTCAATATGGTGGCAGTGAGGTTAGAATGCATCATGACATCACTCTTCTAAAACGCATCCAATTAGATTATGGATTAAAATGTGCATTGAGTTACACCCCTATTTGCATCATACTTTGACATAGGCCAGTTGTATTGCTACTCCCGCCCCCCATCTTTAAAAAGAAGTACAAAAAAAAACAATTAGGACTAAAAAGAATATCCACAAGTTCACTGCAACTTCTTATGGAAAACAATGCAGAGGAAAGTAAAGAGTTTGACGAGGTCAGGTTGGTCTTGTGCATATTTCAACAATGAATATTGATTATAAATGGTCTAAAGGTCTGCTGTTACAGAGATAGAGGAGGATAAAATAAAACTGTATTGACAAGTTCAGGTGTAAAACAGATGCAGTATGTTGTAAGGTGCTGTTTAAAATTCAGCCCCATTATCATGCCATAGAAGTTGTAAAAATGTAAAGTTCTTGTGTTTTGTCTTCTTTATAGTTAAAGTTCCAGAAATCACCTCCTGCATATGTGATCCAACTTTTTTGTGCTTTGTTTGTGATTTAGATTTGGTGAACATAGTTCATCTCAGTCCCGGCTTTGTTTGTCGAGGTGAAAGCACTGATTGTTGAAACAAAAAATATGTTGTTTTTTTGTTTTTCTCTGCAGGAGCCTGGTGGACACTGTTTATAGCCTCAGAGATGAGGTTCAGGAACTAAAACAGGTTGGTTTGATCTTTCCATCTATGTTGGACATGTTTATGCTTGTCTATTTTCAGTGATCAAATATGCTTTCACAACCAATATTTAGGGAATATACAAAAATTAAATGGGGATTGTGTCTTACTTATGGGTTATTCGTTAAAACCCCAGTAAAAAAAGTCTCTAATTAGCCAAAACTCTATATAAGGCAGTTAAAATTCCATAATAACAAATGTTGGGTAAATTATAAAGTGCATTATAAATTTAATTAAGTAGTCATGGTCCTTATCAAGTGAGATGGAAATAAAACCTGGCTCCTTATTGAATAAATTAGTTTTCTAGTAAAATCTCTCCTTCTCTCTCTCTGTACCTTTATTTATCTCTATATATAAATATATTAAAACTAATAATTCAAATGTTAACCATCCGTAAGTACACCTCTATCTCTACAAAATCAGTCTATTTATAAAAATTGGCTATATTGGATATATAGGTGGACAAAAGACCTGCTTAATTTGTATATAGAAAGAATTCTATAAAATTGTACATTGAATTAGCAGATTTACTGTTTTGTCTTCTGCTTTTTGATTCTCTTCTCTCCATCTTTGAGGATATTTATCTCCTTCTATTTTTCAGGACAACAAGAGAATAAAGAGGACGCTAGAGGAGGAGCAGCGAGCAAGAAAAGAGCTGGAGCGAATTGTGAGGAGGGTCCTGAAGAACATGAATGATCCAACCTGGGACGAGACTAATCTCTGAAACCAGTACAGATCTGAAACAGGGACCAATTTCTGAGTTTTACGTCATCATATGACGAGAGACGTTAGCTGTGCCGACAGAAGCTGCCAGCAGTTTTTGCCACACTTCAGCATACGTCCGTTTCATTCAACTAACCCCTCAAACTAAGCCCTGTGCCAAATAATGGACCTAGAACTTGAAGCCATCTAAACTGAACACGAAGCTTTGAAGCCATAACAGCTGGTAGAAATTAGGACAAGACATTTTGCCCTTATTCTCTTCTTCTCAACTCTTATTAGACTGTTTTTTTTGTTTCTTTATCAGTGTTTCTGCCTTTCCTTTGACTGGTCGTATATAATTTCTTGTATTCAAGGAAAGTATTGTTATCTACACTTTGTGAATTAATAGGACGGTTATACATAGATTCCAACTTGGAGAAACAAACAATAACTTATTTTATTCACTCAGGATGCATTTAAAGGGTTTCATACACAACTTAAAACTTCAGTCTTTTTAAGCGATTTAAATTTTATTTTACCCTTGATTTTCTATGAACGTCTAAGGACTAAAATTATATTTAAAGGCTCCAATATATACATACACCAAAATATTGTTAAAAATCCTTGTGCAATTATACTAAGACCACAAATGCTCGATACAACATCATCTATTTTTTGAAACTATATAGACAGAAATGGAATTTAGAGAGGAGGACATATGCACCAAAGGTCCCTTTACAATTCTGCCAGAGACTTGTTGACTGCTACTAAAGTATTTTAAGCTGGTCTCTTTAAGAGCTCTCTGTCAAGATTACAGCAACTCCAAATGATTTCAGTCTTCCTGATTCAATTCTTGCTTTTAAAAATCATAAAGTTTCCTGCTGCATATTCAGTCCTGGGAGAAGGAGGTCATGTGGTTCATTCCTATTAGGAATGTGTTTGAACTTCTGAACTGTGTATTTCAACTTTTCATGGACTATTGAAGCATTGCACCTTAAAAGAACTGACAAGCCAGCTGTAAGGTTACACCAAACGGATTATAAATCAGTAAATGATGAACCAGCATGTATAAAGACTATTTAGCTTTAAAAAAATTAATCGCGATAAAACAAAAACCTTTTTAATTATGGGTTTTAGTTAGGCCTGGGCAATTAATTGCATTTGTAATATAATCACAATTTAGAAAAAATATAATTTTTTTTTTAATTGCTGAGTGACAATTTTTTTTTATCACAATTAACAAGAGTAGAACACTAAATTTCTCCCTCCAGCCCTTTAGTTGGCAGTAAAAGTGTGTATGCACTGCACAGAAGAGTAGCAGCTACAACCTAGATTAATGCATTATAGTAGAAGTAAGGACTTGTTTTTGCAAGTTTAACAGTAAAGTCCTGAAACACTGAAATCAGGCTTTCAAGGTCATGAAAAAACTGAAACCCTGGAGTAAAACATAGACATAGTTGTGCTTAGTGCAAAGGATTATCGCAATAAAATCGCAATATTGGTTGAAAATAATTGCAATTATGATTTTTACGCAAAATTGTTCAGCCCTAGTTTTAATTGTAACCGGATTATGTTTTGGGACCAAAAAAAAGTAGAATAAATGAATTTTATATAGCAGGAACTTAGAATACTTTTTAGGATTTTAATGACCTTTACCTGAACTTATTAACTTTTAAAGCATCTAAATAAACGTTTGGGCTTTAGAATAACTCAGGATTTTAACATAACTGACATTTTTTTCCTGCTCAAAATAAACACATATTTATTATTTTATAATTCAAGCAATATTAAAAAGGTGCTTAAAATGTTATACCAACCTCCACTGCCTCTTAAGCAAACACTTTTTCATCAGTTTGCTGTTTTTCTGTCCAAGTTTTAGGTAAGTGGATTACTTCTAGCTATCAATAACTCGATAAATAGATAAAAAGACATGATTTTTACTTGGGTCACACTCTAGATAAACCACTAAATGGAACATTTTTCTCTACTTTTGTGAAAAACTGAATATTTCTCAGATGTTATTAAAGTGCTTAAGCGTTTAGAGATTTCCATGAACTGTTCCAAAGTGCAGGTTTGTCTAATATTGTCAATTTAGTATCTGAAACCTCAAACTCTGACTCACTTGTTTGAGTCAAACAATGGGATTTTGTCAATCAGAAGTTTTTCTTTGCAAAACCAAAGTTAAAGCAATACTACACTGGAAAATTTCTCTATTTATGATGTCATTATGCAATTTATTGTAGAATTTATTCAATTTTTTTTATTGGTATCTTTTTTTAAACTTTTGCTTTTATTGTAAATACCTGTTTTATACTTGACCTTGGCTCGCTACATCAGATCTCTTCTAAAGAGTAGTTTCTCTTGGATTTCTACCAGTTTAACCCATGTGTGATTAGCTATATGATCAATTATGGCAGTGATTAACTCTATCTTATGTATTTATCTGTAACTGCTGTAAATGTCTCATGTGAACCTGTATTGATGATGATTGCAAAGGTTATAATAACTGTCAATCTTTATTTATTTCACCTGTCAGACCGTCAATGAAGTTCTAAATCCAAATGAAAACTTTAGTCTATGAGAATAAAAGAATATCTACAAAGTTCTGAAAACTGACCAGTTTTTTGTGTAATCCCATTCAGGATGTTGCCTGTCAACTATTTCCATAATATTGCCAAACATTAACACACTTCCATTAAAGCTTTTTTGCTAAGATAAGTAATTGTAAACTTAGTTTACTTTTCAAGCCAATTAATGAGGGGTAGATACATACTCGTGCCATAATTTTCCGTTTTTATTTATTTTTTTTCGAATTTAAGCAATAGTTTTCTCTCCTTTCACCTCTAAATTACACACGATGTCAAATAAAATATTAGTTCAACAATAAACTGTAAAAATACACATTTTCCCTATTGTATTTCTTTTAAACCCAGAAGCACATTTAAGGCGGAATTTGCTCAACAGCGCCCCTCTGTTTTTCCGTGGTCGCTAAACTCATCTACCCATATATGGAAAAGTGTATTGCAGCTTAACCAAACGTATGGAGAGAAATTTGTGCCATCGGTTTGAGCGCGCAGGAACCAATCCGAGCGCGCAGTGAGACAACACGCGCGCGCGCAAAACCGGTCTGGCGCGCGCTCAACTCTGAAAAACCCTCTCAACACACTGTTCTCGCGCTCAGTTTCATCTCCGCGCTCAACACCAGCTGTGCGCTCGGCTGTTTCTCCGCTCGCTCGACTCTCTGCGCTCGCAACTTCAGCAATGTATGTAAATGAACCATACCATCAGCCAATCACACTCAGCTTCTTTTCATCCAATGAAAGCATTCCTTCCTTCTTCTTCTTTTCTATCATGGCGGATCGCAAGCAACTTTAAGGTGCATACCGCCACCTACTGTTCATGAGTGTGTAGCAACATTGTTTTACAGCTATTCAATTCTATTTTTTTATTTTGCATTCTGAAGATAACTAAATAATGCTTTCCTTAATCTATAAACATCCTTTATATTTCCTTTATTTCCCAATAATCCTTTAAGACTCCATTCTTGGCCTGTCATTTCAACTACTCTTCTCAATTTTTCCCTTTCAGGTTCATATGTTTTACAGTTCATTAATATGTAAGCATACTTGAACCTGAAATATCCTCCTTATTTTTCTTTTAAAACAGCAAATTTAAATCCATGTCAATAGCAGGTAAAAGAGATGGATGAGGCAATGATCTAATAACTGTTTTACTGAAGTTTATTTGAGATAATTCAAGATATTTTATAGTACTATCTTAGGAATGTTGACAAAATAACTGTAAGAGTAGTTTGATTTTCCTGATTGTGTTTTTATTTATTTATTTATTTTTTTTTCATCTAACCGGATGTAGTATTTGGAACGAATGCTTACATATTAATGAACTGTAAAACATATGAACCTGAACAGGCGCGGATTCAGGCGGGGGCGCGCGCACCCCCCTTTGGGATATGGCAAGCCAATTGGGCCAATAATCTTCCGTACAATAACGCGAGGTTCCAACCCGTATTTTACGCGAGCGCGCGTTTTTTACGTCACCGCGCCTTCTGGCTGGAAACGTGCGGTGACGTAAAAAACGCGCGCTCGCGTAAAATATCGGTTGGAACTGCGCGTTATTGTACGGACGATTATTGGCCCAATCGGCTTGCCATACCACAATGGCGTCTTTGCGAGAACGAGGAGACCTGGAAGATTTAAGGCCAAACAAGAAAACCAGACAACCATCTCTTTTAAGATTCTGGTCCAATCCAACAGAAGGGTAAGTAGAAACCAACTTTATCACTTTATTTCCTATAGGCTTACATCTATAATCTAAATAACACAGATTGAAATGTTTATATCTTGTTTTCTATTCTTCAGTGGACCTGGCACAAAATGACCACAGCGTTGACCTGTATGAACGTTCAGATATTGGAGACACACAGATAAAAGGTATGATGATTGCTAGAAAATGTTGATAATGAGAAAACATTATCAACATTGTTGATTGTTGATAAACAAGTTGTCTAAAGTTGCAAAGTAATGCAATGGTAGGAATACTTTAACCAGTAACGGGAAAGTTAAATTGCAGTGTTTGATAAGTAATAAAAAGAGTGTACAATTAACAAAAATAGGCAACATTAGTTGCCATTGACATGCATACAATAGTTATTTTGTAGTATGTATTTTTGGGTCTAAACCTGTACCACATGTGTTGTACTGTTAAAATAAGAATGGTATCCTTTATGAAAACATTACTAACTTTTATCAATTGGTAAGGATCCAAATCAATGAATGCTCTAAGCACATGCTTGGAGTCTAAGGGAGTCTTGTTAACATTGTGATATGATAACTACAAATCTGGTGTTATTTGTTTTCAGTGCATTTAATATTTTACAATAAAAATACAATTTACTTTTAAGTATATTCAGTTTTGTGCACCTGGTGATATGTGTTCGGTGAATTTAATAATTTACTATAAAAACACAACATTAAATTGTTTTGTGGCTCCTCCTGAGATTACAAGGTTCCCCTGATCACAAAAATTATTTTATTTTCCAGATGAACAACAAGGACCGTGTTTCGTGTAAAGACCACTGAAGAGCCGGCGCTCAACCAAGCGGATTTGCCCCAAACAACTTACGAAATATAGTAGTATTTATAGTAGTAGTAATAGTTGTATTTTTTTCAATGTCAAAACAACTAATTTTGTTTTTGTTTTACACGATTGACTTTTTTGCTTAATCTTGAAATCTTACATTTCATAATAATTATTTCATAATAAAGCAAGACTATACAAAAGCTTCATGTAGGCAAATTTACAACTCCAGCAGCATCCATACAAAATTGACAATGTAAATATCAATCTTATTACAGATGTTTCAAAGGCCAAGGACCGGATTAGTGAAATGGATGACTCTGGAAAATTCCAGCTTCTTCAGACCAGAAAACCACCCAAATCTTTCAGTTTCCCTGCCAGAGAATTTAAAGGCAACCGAAGAGCCAGTGGGGTGACCAAAAGAACATGCCAGAGGGACTGGCTGGAAAAGTATGACTTTTTATCATTTTTACATCATATAAAGATGATCTACCGTCAGGATCAACATTCAGGTAGGAAGTGAAGTTGTGGCACACAAAGTGGTCATCATCAGTGGAAAAACCCAGCTCTCTCCCTGAAATTCTAAAGATAACAAATATGAAGTGCTACCCAAACATTTATATGATTCTTCACCTTCTGTCAGTCATACCTGTTACCAGTGCTTCTGTGGAAAGTGCTAACTCGGGTCTTAAAGCAGTGAAAACTTTGCTGAGTTCAACAACGGGACAGGAAAGGTTTGTGGCTTTGCTTTTTTTGTATGTGCACAAGGACATTCAGTTAGACATCAACAAAATCATAGACATATTTGCCCAGAAGCATCCCAGAAGGCTGACATTTGTAAACCAATTATCGTCATCATAAAGTTTGTAGTAGAGAACAATATTCTTTGTGCGGTTTAACTTTGTTTTTTTTTTTGTTTTTCAACAGTTTATCTTGTTAAAATATATTAAAAAACTCCTTTGTCTTACTTGAACTATACTTGAACCAAAGTCCTTGG